TCATTCAAATGCAAGAATAAAAACAATTGTATGATTTTGGTCATCATGACGTAAGTATGAAACAAAGGTCACTGAGTTTAAATGAGCATCAGTGACTTTTTGCTTAGAACCGATATCTATATCCACAGGGATTGCATAAGAGGGCCTGGGGCACTTTGGACGCGGAACTTGAATTTGATCTTGTGTGACCTAATCTGAACCAAAATTAAAAATGCAGCAGCCTCATGTCTTGACATAAGTGAGTCCACATGCACGGCAGCCCACCCTGTAAATTTTGTGTCTCTAGTTTTCTTGCTTCTTTTGTATTTCAGGGGGTCAAATTGACCTCCACCCCACCCGAATAAAGGGTATTCAACGCCCCCCCCCCCGACCGGGCGCGTGTTGAACCAAAACCGGTCTAAAATTAGCACCCAAAAGCGCGACGAAGTTACTGCCTACTACGCTCAGAAGAACCCTTGAAATGTGCCAGCCCCCACCTCGACACAAATATTAAATGAAACAGATACGAAAACCCGACGATCGAAGCCACCCGACTAAACCTTTGGCGGTAACCGTCCGACAATGATCAGCGAACCAACGCTGGGCATTTCGAACATGCCTAACGTGAGTGCTGCACTACAGCCTGAAGTCCGCCTTACGGCTGCCTGCCGGGGTTTTCCGTGACAGCCTACAATAGTCGCGCACGTCATCTTACGGAATCAATTCTGAATCACACGCGTCCAACAGTGTCTAAAGCCACATAGCATCGACCATACGTTGGTTACTGAAACCCAGTTTAGTTCATTTAAGCTCAACAAAATAGCTAGCATCCCCGGCGACAACATCTCACACCGAGCCGGAGCGAGAAAACGTGTCTGAAAAAAACACCTGTACAGCTAGATGAGACTTCTGCTTCCAAACTCTGAGAAAAGGGTAGATCAAATCCGGGTAAAAGTATGTGTCTAGTGTGTTTAAGGGTCAGTTTGAGTTATTTTCTCCGACCAGGGCCCAAAATCTGTTTCGCTAAATTCCACGCCTGTGGCGGAAGCTTAATGACGTTTAAAGTACGCACTCAGTTGTTCGTAACCACTGGCACGCGCGCGGGATTTCATAACGGATACAGTACGTTCGACAAGAGTGCCTACGCAAAGGGGTTCGTATGCATTGATGGCATGGAAGTAGAGTTGCATGTCTGATAATCTTATGGGTTTGTTCCAGGAGAGCTCGGTCAACCGGATACAACACCACGCATCGTCAGCCCGTGAATATCGCTACTAAACGTGAGCTCCGCGGGGTGATCTAAGGAGTAGAAGTCAACTGTGCAACGTTTAGCTCCAACCGGCGTGCGGCTTAAAGTGATTGCCTTTGCTAATGCTGGACCGGGTATGAACAAGACCCTGACCAACGTGGACACGATAAAGCTTTCGACAAAGGGATACTGGATGTCATGTACTAGATGTTAAACCGCACTAGGTATCAATTCGCACTAGATATCAACTCGCATTAGATATCAACGACCACTAGATATCAATTCGTACTCGTATAGTGGGTGTTACGCGCGCGTCTGTGGCCGTTTCGTGCTGCCGCGCGGCTGGTCGGCCGTCGCTCGAGTCGTCTCGCCTACATCGCGCCGTCTGGAGGCGCGGTCGTCGCCCTTAAGAGCACGCCCCGTCCCGCCAGGGCTGGTAAGCTCGGTACGTGCCATCCCGTTATGGGGTGCGGACAAAGGTACGCATAGAAAAGGATTGTCTGGAATTTATCCGTTGGAAAAGCTCGCATGGCTGATAATGTTCGGGTACACAAGGAAGTAAATTCGCGACATCAAAAGTTCGCAGTGTAAAACGGCCGTAAATGATAGCATTCGCATGGCAAATGCTCGTCGGGAAAAGGAGCCACGAAGTCGTTTGCACATGCAGAAGTCTGTGGAGCTCCTATGACAAAAGTACTGACTTCCGAATTACATTCAGTTCGCATGTCTATGTATGATGCTGTCACACAATTGTTCGCAAACGTTCGTAAGAGATAAAGTTCGCTTGACAAAAGTCTATACCCAAAGGTTCGTGTGCAGATGCGTAAGGAAAGTTCGAGCGTCGGTCTCCATCCTTGGTGCGAAGTCTGAGGCGAATTGTCGTTGCGCGACCACCACATCGTGTCAACTGGAGACGGGGGGGGGTGGGGGGGGGGGTGGAGGGAGAGCAGAGGATGCCGGTAAAAAGCACAGGATAAATTAAGTTAAATGCTACGACCATCTTAGCTCTTCATGACACGAAATAAAATACCCTCCGGTTGGCATCAAATGATCCCGAACCAATCGGAATAACGCTGAGGACAATGGGAGCTGGGCTCAAACGGACAACATGACAAGAAAACATGCTCACCGCAGTCCAGTGTCCTACAATTGCCAACTTTGGGTGTAAAGCAACATTTTATGAGGAGGGATTTTTCACTCCTTTTCCCAATATTTTGTGTGAATTTTTACTTCTGTCTGGCATTGTCTAAACGCACGTGGCAAACGCCTATTTCCCTTTCTGAGGTTTTCAAACGTCATCCAAAACCGAGCTCACTTGAAACCACCAAGCATAAACGAGGCTCCACAGAACCTGGACACCTATGGCTATGTCCTGCCTCACCTACATCTGAGTCATGCCTATGTATGCACAGAGCAAGGGCGCCAGGTACCTCCAACCCCAAGAACCCCAGCGACTCCAGCCGCTTGCACCCATTAAGTTTGGTTTGTTGACAAAATGTATCACAACCGGCAGCTGTATGCCAAATACAAGGTTTTCACGCATCCCTTTTTTTGGTCCCACCACCACACCACGAAAGCGGAGCCTGGTGCCAACACCAGCAGGGCTCGGTAGAGAATTTCTATCCGCGTATTCCTTTTTCCAGGGAAGCTTGACCACTAAATTGCATCACTTCCGAAATGCAGGAATGGAAAATTCCAAAAATGTCTTCTAAATTAGATTTACAAGATGAATATCACCATTTGAACACTCATGTTAGCAAACGAGTGTGATGCCACTTTATTCTTCCTTCCTTTTCGATTGCCTTTAGAGGTACCATCTGTTGCTTAAATGTTGATCAATTTCGCTACAAGATGCTTCAAATGCAAACTTGTGCGTATTTCATACATAAATCGGATTAATTCGCCAGCCGCCCAAACATGTTTCATATGCACCCAAGAGTGAACAATTCACAGGGAATGAAGGAGACAATCTGAAGCACGGAACTTTTTTATCGCCATTTTTGCCCTATTAAACCCTCGGTTAACCGTTTTCTTGGTTCATGGCGGTGCTCAATAATGATAAATAAAAGCTCTTCGAGTGTTTAACTTACCAGCCTACCAGACATGACTATCCTTATGCTGCCATAGAGAGCTTTGGGACAGACCTGACGCAGTTAACACAGAAGTGCTTGATAGCGAAATTCTGCCCTCTGGAAATGTTTGTCATGCACACCTCTTACTTGTTTGTATTTTAATCTCGTAGGTTGGTGAGCATGATTGATATCTTTATTTGGGGGGTGAGTGGGATGACTCTGTCTGCTAGCAGACCGTGCAAAAGGTACTGACTTTTCGTTTTGAGGAAGCAGGAAGAAGCCAGTGGATATCCTGTGGACCAAGTAATTGCTTACCTTACATGCTTTCAACACATGATTGGTAACTAGAGTAAGCCATTTCCTGTTTAAATCCATCGAGTTTTGTCATGAGGCAAATTATGATGTCACAAGGCATGCAATGGGATTATTTTCTTCCATATTGTTGATAATTTACCACAAATTTCTTGAAGTTGTCCATCAAAGCTGCTTCAATCAATTGTTTTTTATAGTTGTCATGGTTTGCTGA